TTATTTATATAAATTTATTTATTAAATATAAATCTGTAGAGATATATTTAAATATACATATACATATGTCCAAACTTTATGACCAGTCTTTTGTAGAAAAAAATTTTTAAATGTTTATTTAATCCATCTAGAATTGAATTTTGTATATGTGTGTGAAGATAGAATTTACCTTTATTAGTTTTTTTCAAATGAGTCATTAGTTATTGAATTTTGTATATGTGTGTGAAGATAGAATTTACCTTTATTATTTTTTTCGAATGAGTCGTTAGTTATTCCAATACCTTTTATGGAATAATTCATATGAGATCTACATATGACCATCTTAAGGTAGAAGATAAAGATTGTCGAGTATCTACAAAGAGATGAAAGTTGAAGATGTGAAGGCAGACGAGATCTTGGCAGAAGAGAGTAGATGCAGGGAAGGACCAAGCATGTGCTCCTACGGAGGAAGAGAGGAAGTGAAGGAATTAACCGAGAGGTAGGTGGAGGGCCCCAGAGTGGTGTCATGGAAGTTATGGATTAGGAAAGGTTCAAGGTGGGGAGAGGGCAGTAGTAACTAGTGGGGAAGCAAGCGTCACTTGTGAAATAAATGGGAGAAAAGAACATTTGATACATCGGTTGTGCGGCTCATTGGATTCCGTGGTGCAGCTGTGGCTTTTGGATTAATTTATATTTTCTACAGTTTATTTCATTTTTTTTCACCCACAGATATGGATAATTATGAGTTAACTCTAGACATGTACTGTTTCTGGGTGGTAAAGTGAAATTTTCTCAACACACTTTAAAATGTCATTTCATTCAAGTATTTTTTGCATGGTGCATTCGAAAAATATTTTCAGTGAAAACCGAGTTAACAGACAATGATATAATGTACATAAAAGAGCTTTTGACCTAAATAAATCATAAAAATAAAAGCTGTGGTTTGGATATGTAACATGTACTGGCCATTCCTCATTCATTTGTGAGACTATGGAGCAAACTTGGCTAGGACTCAGCATCATCATGTTGGTCAGCATCCACAGTATTGCCATAAAATATATTTTAAGCTGGCTAATTTTTTGTCTTTACAAACTAGTCCTTTCTACGAGCTATTTGTGGCTCACTTTTCCTTGTTTTCCTCTTCAAAAAGAGGTCTAGAGAGGTAGTGAATTTGCCCTGGTTTAGTGTGGACATACTGTTTGGCCAGCCTGTATCCAGGCCATAAGGGTGATAATCACTATATAAATACATAGCAACACAGCATCACACTAGCCTTTCCTCGCTGCCCTGGAAAGCAGCCCATGTGCAGATGAAGAAGCCGTGTGCGCAGCTCCGCTCGGCCGCGCACGGCCTGAGGATGGATGGCAGCAGGACCCTGAGCAGCTGCTCTGTGACAAGACATGCGAAGAAACCTCCGTCTAGGCGTTCGCTGAGAAGCCCATCAGAAATGTTGATATGACACCAAGAGAGCTGCCTTCCGTGGAGAATGAGGGGTATTGTCTGTGGGCAGACATGGCACGTGGCAGTGTGACAGAGGCGGCTCATTTTGATTCACGATATTGAGCAGCCTGTGAAGCTAGGAAGATCAGCAAAGAATGACAGGCCCTGCACTGGTGCCCGCAGTCGGAAGGCAGGGCTTGACCAGCTGAGCTCTCCGTTTGGAGCAGTTAGCAGTTTTTTAAAAGCTATATTCATAAATATGGAAAATAATATCGCCATCATCATTATAATCGTATATGAAGCAAGATGCACATCCATAAATCATACTAATGAATGCCAGCTAATGGTGATGCACTGAATGCTGTGTTCCATAAGTCTTGCTCTGTCTGCTTATCCTGATTTATTTTCTTCACAGCCTTATCTTTGCCAGATATTTTATTATATATATTTATTATGTTATAGATTGTTTCCTTCCTAGGCCCTACCAAACAGAAATCACGGGGTGGTAGGGTCTTTGAATGGTCTTGTTTTCTGCTGATCCCTAGTGTCAAGAACAGTGCCTGCACGTAGTAAGCCGGCAACATATATGTGTGTTGAAAAAAATTCAGTAAAAATTCAGTAAAAATTCAGTCTTGTATATTTCTAGTGATTTCCTGTAATATTAGAGAGAGTCAAACACCAATTTAGAATAAGAAATGTGCTCATTAAGTAAAAAGTAGTTTTCTTCGAAGCAATTACTAAATAGCTGAGTTTTACAGAATTCAAAATATATACTGCCATATTTCTGATGGATTTATCAGTTAGCATTAACAATTTAGCCCGTCAACTAATTGTTTTGTGTGCGTGCTGCCAAGTAAAGATTTTGACTAAATTTTCCTCCTCCCCTTTCCTTCTGTCCCATGTTGCCCTGGAGAAGATGTCACAGCACAAAAACTTACCTCCAACTCACTGTCAATACATTGATAACAGGAATCAAATGATCTACTTCCTTTCACAGATGGGTGTGTCTATTTGTAAAAGGAAATGGAAAGAATATGAATTTTCCTAGATTGAGAAAACCAAACGTTTGTAATTTCTTTAGGTAGAAGTGGTTTGGATTCTCGGCTTGGAGGTGTTCAAGCTGAGATAGGATAAACCCTGTCAGGCCCAGGGGAGCTGGCGGCTGTTCCTAAACCTGCCTGTGCATCAGAATCATCTGGGAACATCAATTAACAAGTAAACAACCATTCCAAAAAAACTGAGAACAGACAAACAAAAAACAGGTTACAAGACTCCGTTCCAGAGGTACATCTGTGGAAGCACTGGACTCCATGCTGAAAGCAAAACAGCTTCCTAGGCGGGTCTCATGTACATCAAGTATTAAGAACCGCATAAGGTCAGGATTCAAATTTCAGGCAGAAAATTGGACAAGATCGGCCTTTCTCAGGTATCATCTGCGAGCACTTGTAAGTATGCAGTCGAGGCTTTTCCCCCTGGGCATTCTAATTCAGTTTTCTGGAGCGGGCCCAATAATCTTCTTCCACTTTTTAATTTTTTAAAAAATTTCATAAATTCCAGGTGATTTTTAGTTTCAGGTATGTTGGGAAGCATTCATCTAGCAGACCTTGAAGTCTGGCCCAGTCTTCAGATTCTATGATTATTCAAATAATTTTTCTATTTTGTGTGTCAATACCGTCTTCGAATGATTTTTTTTTTTTTTTGGTTTAGTACTCATATAACTAAAATCATAGATCGTAGTTTATAAATTGGGCAGTTTATGCCTGGTTTAAAAACACATGAACAAATAAAGAAGCCTCACTTCATGCAAACCTCATTGTGGAGTGACATGTCCTGTGGGTCACTGGGCCCAGTAACGCTTTTCGTTTGTTTGTGAGCGCACTCATGGTCCTGCAGCCCGTGGTGTGCAAAGGTTAAACTCAACAGCTAGAAAAATGATGACGGTAACAAAGTTTAAATAACACGAGAAAGTGGTGCATGGAAATCAATCTTCAAATCCTAGAAAACTACGAGTGCCAGCTCCTCATTATATTTTTCACTACATCGTGATTATACAACTTGAACAACCTTACAAGTTGAAAAACAAATAGGCAGGACTTAGAGCAGTGTTTCTCAGCGATGATTCTGCTCTGAATTTTCTTTTTATTTATTTATGTTTACTCTATTTTTTAAATGGATTAAATAGAGAATTTTAATCAAGAAAACAGAGCCCTGTTTGCTTCTCAGATGCCGTACTCTATGGTCTAGTAAGTACTTCAATGAGTTGGAATGTTGCAAGATGTTTCTAGTTCCTTTACATCCTTAACTCCGTCAGCATATATTTCTGCCAGACTTTCAAAATGCATTCTATTTTCCCCAAACGGATAATTTTTAACAAAGAGCTTAGTGAAAGTTTTTACTCCTAGTCTCCTTTTGTTAAGGTGCCTTGTTTAAGGTCTAAGCTATTCTAAACCCCAAGTAGGATTGAACTAATTTTTTCCCTAGCCATCTTATATAGCTATTCACACTGCAGAAGTCTTTGGATGATTATTTTATCTTAACAGATGATAATTACAGAAATATGGATTTTTGTAATTTGAAAGAACATTCAGGATAGTTTATTATAACTATCTTGTTATAATGTTCTCAATTTTCAGATGTGAAGAATGAGACTCAAAAGGACTAAATGACTTGCTCAAGGCCATTTAATTTAAGGAAAGCCAGTGCTAGCACCTGGCCATTCAGAAGCCAGATTCTAAATTCTTTCCAATGCCTATATTGACTTCAAGTGCTCTCACCCTCGCAAGGCCTGTTGGTTCTAAATTATTCTCTTAAGCTATTCAAAAAGATCGTTATGGGTGATTTTCAAAGCAGGTGTTCCTGCTTACATACATACTATGGGCAAATGTATTTTCAGGTACACACACGGAAATAATATCCATCATAATACGCTCTCTGTGAAGCCTTGTGAGAGCTTACAGCCTGATCTGAACCGTGCTGTGGAGAAGTAGTGGAAATTCTCGTTTCCTGAGTGTCACAGGGGGCGGGGACCCTCTCCCCCCTCCCCCCTCCCTGCCCTTCCCAGGCCAGTGGTCGCACCCTCTAGCAAACAGGTGAGAAGACCTGTCCTAGGCCAGCCACCTCCAACTATGCTCATTGCCCAACAGCCTTAAGCTCAGCGCCGCGCCGCGCCGCGCAGCGCTGGGCAGCAGAGCTGACCTGTCAGCCGCCCACACGGGCCTGGGTGTGGCACGCAGGCCCACGAAACCTGTCCACTCTGCCTTTCAAACACTGTAAAGACCCATTCTCATTCCCTAAAGGCACCATTTTCTCTTGGTGTTCCCCGTAAAGCTCTTAATACTTTTCATCAGTTTGTTTTATGGACTCCCTGCCTCCCTCTTCTTCCTGTGTCCTGGGGTCTGTCCCCTGTCTGTGCACACTGTCTCTGGGGGGCCCTCAGTCATCCCCATGGCTTTAGCTCCGGCCAGGATGCCCACAAATCCCCGCTTTCTCTCTCCTCCTGTATCTTTTTCCAGCTCGAGTTTGTTGAGATTTTACTCAAAAAGATGTATGAGATGTAGTCTTTTTCCCTGAAAGATATTTTAACATAGTTGCTATAAATTGTGTATTTTAATAGGAAACAAATATTGTCCATAACTCTTTGTTTAAACTATTTTGATTTTTATTTGAATTTAGAATATGACAATAAACATTTTGTAGTTTATTTAAGTCATAATTATATGTTAGATATTTAATGTGTACTTTTTTATTGGTTATAAAAATCATAATACTGAAGTAAGGATTAAAAGCCACTTAGGAGAATAAAGAAATATTAATAACATCTTAGTACTTATATTTACAGAATTTTTCTTTGAAATTACCTCGTCTCAAAAATTAAACTATAAAACGAATTTATAGGTATTCAGTTTTTAAAGCTCTTTTATACATAGAAAAAACTTAGCCATTCACATGGGCACAAACTTTACTTATCAGGAAAACAAATGTTTCCTCAGTAGCTGTCCATAGGTATAGTTACTAATGGAAGATAGAGAACTGCATTTTCCTTAGTCTTTAGACACACTGAGGACTTTTTTTTTTTCTTTTTAAATATAAAGTGAGTTAATGCCCCTCAGAATTTCCTGTCAAGAGTTAACCCTGCTGAAGGTAGAGCTCGGAGGAAAAGGACTCGAATTCCTCAGATAACCCAGGAAAATCATTTCCATATAAAACACTGAGTTTATACCATTTAAGTTTGGGCTTCACTCTTCCTCCAAGATTATGATCTTAAATTTTTTATTGTTTGTTTGTTTTTTTTTTTAGTTACCTACAGATGATCTGACATAGAAGATACATCAAGGACAAGGTCAGGACATAGGTCAACCATTCTGACTCATCATCCTCTGATCAAACTGTAAAATGATACATACTAAAATATTGAAGTCACAGTCTATGGTGTCTCTATAAATTATGATAAATAAGACACTAAACATCCTGCAAATATGTGAAATAGCACTGTTCTGGCCCCTCAGAGTCAGTGAGGCAAGTCTGTCATAGCTCCAGGTACCCACTTGATCAGTCATGGTCTTGAAAACGGATTGTATGGTGACCAGAGCCATCTGTGCGGCACTGCGGAGACCCACATGGAGACCTCTGAAAGAGGGGAGCCAGACCAAGACCACTGGCCATTGCATGTCCACAGGTCCAAACGCTCCTAAGCTCCAGGATCATGTTACATCTACCTGCACATCTGGATCTGTTTCCGAGTCATCCCCACCGAGCTCTTTGGCTGGCTCAGCTGTTAGGGCAGCTGTGTACTCAGCTGTAATTGGAGACACCTCAGAGCACGTGCATTTCTAATTCTGAGAAGACCCAGACCTGACCATGAAAGTACATGGAATGTGATTAGGTGGTTCGCTCGCGGAAGCGATGTCCTCATTGGCTGGCAGTGCTGCCAGTGTAGCAAGGCTAGAAAAGAAAAGATAAAGGAAGAAAACAGGAAGAAGCAGTCCTCCAAGAGGCGGTGAAAACTCCACAAAGCAGAGAGAAGAAGCATTTCCGAAGCACAGTGTGTAGTGGATATGAGGTGGGTGAATTAAGTTAGACTGCCCGGTGTCAAAGTCCAGCTCTCCTGACCTTGGGGGAAGTTGTTTACCCTTTCTTGGCCTCAATTTCTTCATCTACAAAGTGGCAATAAAAATAATGTTCACCTAGGAGGATTGTTGTGGGATTATATGAGTTAATAAGGTGGAACACTTAGAGCAGCATGAAGCTCATGAGTAAAAATGAATAAAATTGTCCGAGTAAACTTGCTCAGTAAGTTTGACCCTTTCTCAGTGGTAGTGATCAGCGCTCTTACATGGCGCCTGGATCCGCCCCTGCTTCACCCTGAACGCCAGCCGCGTGGCGCACAGGCCATGGGGTGCAGAGTGTGGGACCTGCAGTGGTCCTTGGTGGGTCTCTGTATTTGAGAAATTGTCAGATTGAAAGCAGATCACCTCCTAGAGAACATAAAACTATTGGAACCGTTAGCGCAAGGCTATATAAATCCTGCACGGTTCAATAATATTTTAGGGCATTTTGTGGGAAATGCGTACACATTCACATACACTAACATTGAGCTCTTACTCATGGCACAGATTTTGTTAAGCACTTTACATGTATAATTTCACTGAGAACAATTCTGTGAGACGAGCCCAATTTTTATCTGCCTTTTAAAGATGAAGAATCTAAGGTTTGGGTGAGTTAAAGTCACTCGGGATCAAACAGCTGGCAAGGGATATGGCCAGAGTTTAAACCCAAGTCTGCCTGGCTCCAAAACCAACGCTCTTAACCATTTGGCCACAGGGAGTACAGGACAGCAGTCAAAGAGAGGCCAGGGCGGCCAAGCACGGCCTGCCGTGCCCCGAGGAGGTTGCCACATTTCTGCAGTATGTAAGCTGAAAATTATTAAGCTCTGTTCTTTATGTCACGGGGTTTAAATTTAACAGTCATAAATAAGGATGTGCAAACAATATATAGCTTTGTTTCCTGTATCTGAGCTCAACTTGTCTCCAGCCCTCACTCCTGTTAACGGTGGAGAATGATGGTCTCCTTGCATCTGCCAACTAAAGGCCCACCCAGTGTCTTCTATTTTATAGCAGCCTCTTTTTTGGATGAATATTCATTTGATTCAAAGTTGCTTCCATCCTGCCAAAAGTAGTTTTCCTCTTCCTCAGGAGCATGCAAACTTCTGCATCCACTACCCACCACTAGAACAGTGGGGCCCCTAGAGGCACTTCCCTCAACCATTTCTGCACTTGGGACGCACACCATGAAGACACAGGCTTCTTGGAGAGGCTCGGGCAGCAGGGGATGCAAAGATGCCTGCTGCTCTGAGAAGTTCCAGAACTGGTCTGCGGGTTTCAGCCACCCTCCCTTCACCTAAGGACTTTCTGTTGCGGGGGCATGGGTGGGAGTTAGGAATCCCCTTTTGAATTACGTAGGCTGCATTTCTCTGTCTCTTTTTCTTTTACTCAAAAAGAGACTTAGTCGTTGGGTAGGAATTTTCCTTAGTACCTATATTGACTTCTCTGCTTGATGATCTGCTATGTAGAAAATCCTCCAAATTTTGCTTCTCGATATTTAAAGAGAAGCTTTTGATCTCATAATGTGTGTGTGTGTGTGTGTGTGTGTGTGTGTGTGTGTGTTGGGATGTGTGTGCTCTTGCTCAAGGAAACTGGGCTTTTGAGACTATTTTATTACTCTGAATTTAACAAATCTAATTTAACACTCAAATCTGAACAATTCCTTTTTTCTAGGTATTATAGGCTCTTCCCCTAAAGCAATGAAAGGCCTTGATTCAATGCCTGAGAGAGCCATAGGGAATTAAAAATACACGGTTACATTACTTTCAAAATATTATAGCCATCACATATATATCTAGATTAGTGTGACTTTTCTGAGTAGAGTTCCCTTTTGTGATCCTCAGTGTTCATAAATGTTTTATTTAACTGTTCTAGTGTGATTTCGGTTCTGATTTAGACAAGAGCATTAAATGGGAAACAACAGTGTTCTCTGCCGCAGCCCAGGATGGTGATGGCATTGGAATTAAAAAGAAGAGAAGACAGGAAGAGAGGTTGGATCTGACGTCCAGCTGCCCATCCCTACGTGAGTCACCTGTCAATCCTCGTCTCCGAGGTTCTGGGATTAATTTCGTTAGTAAAGGAGGTTATATATTTCCAGAAAAATTTAGCGTTTGGCAATATTTTTGCTATTTTCTGACTATGGATGTTATTTTTGGTTCTATCTGTGTATTTCAGATAGAACTGTCCATTGAGTACAAAATATATACTGTTATTCAGAATATAGAATATTGTTATAGAAGAGATTTCATGTGGATGGAGGTTCATCCCTCACATCTCATTATGTTATTAAAGATGACATTTCATCGTGGTTTATACCTGGCATTCTGATGAACATCAAACATTATGAGAACTCGTAGAAAACCGTGGCCTGTTATGTTTGCCCAAGTGTGTTTTTCTGATGATGAAAGGATATTTGGAGACCTTTTGTGTAAACTCTTCCGAATCCTAGCTTATATTTTTGTAACATTTAGTGATACTCTTCCTTCACCCGTATCCTCAATTGCCCCATTCTAACTTGCCCCGCTCTTAACCTACTGGGGTCGAGAGGGAGTTTCGTTTTCCCTTTTATACTTGATTCAGCCTATGACTTCCAATATTGTCCCCATTGTCCCCATTTTCTAAGGAAATGAGAAAGGGCAAAGGTAAAGTACAGGGCGAGCAGGGCTGGTTCTCAGGAGATGCATCATTTTTGCTCTCGTCTCATCAGCCAGTATGTCACTAGCCACACCTCGCTTCAGGAAGGCTGGAAATGTAGCTACTATCTGGGTGGTCATATACCAAGCAGAAATGTTGTAGATTTTATTACTAGAAGAAAGAAAGGGAGATATACTCGGTGATAATTTGTTGTCACTGGCTCAGAAAACATACCGAAGGTAAATATCTAGCAGGCAATACTTACGAGGACAAATGGAAGTATGAGATGACGGCGTGGGAACCAGAAATCTTGTATGCTTGGGGGAGTTAGTTTGTGGGGTGAATTCGTAAGTTGGTTTATGAACTCATTTGGTTTAGGATTTTGTTGTGAATCTTTGATAACCTGAGGTACATTTATTGATCAAAGAGAAACTATAGAGTAAGTGCTAATTTTTTGTTACTGAAGTTCATTGTGACACTCATAATTAATTTTTCTTAATAAATGCACTTGTCATATTTTTGTGAGCTTACCTCTTATTTATGTTAGCCTTTTCAATTAAGATTTGCACTGATGAAAGGACAAATAGCCTAGAAGTGTTATTGGTATTAGACAAGTGTGTTTTACTTCATTCAATATGGGTAATATTTTAAAGCCCTGAAAAGAACTTTATTATGTAATTATTAAAGTTTAAAGTTCTCATATTTTGCTTTTCAGCAAATAGTGGAGAAACATATTTACTTCTATCCATGTAAATCTAAATGCTGTTGGTGGTAATTCTCAAAAATTTGATAAGAATTTGAAATGAAGTCAATATTAAAAGTACAGCATGCACCATGATAAAAAGTGCAATGGTGGTTTTGACATTATCAGTTCTGGCTGATGTTAGGATGGTGCCAGAAAGAGATTATTTTTGATACTTGAAGCATTGTAAGAATGATACATTGCATCTACTTGACATTATCATTTCTGACGTTGCTGATCTTCCTTAATTATAATTCTGGAGAGTAAGATAAAAGGTTAGTCTTTTTAGAAGGTTAAAAACATATTTTTAATCTTATTTCTCTAGGCTGAATAGAGTGAAAACTTGAGAAATTATGTGGAGAAGTCAGCAGTATGTTAAGATTACCATGTACAGAATGCTATCTTATTTACTTTTCATGTGGTATCATGAGGGTATTATTGTTCCAATTTTTCAGAGGAATGAAATGATATTATTCAAAGTTACAATATTTAAATTAATATTTTCTTCTGTACTATTTAGTACTATTTATTTAGTACTATTATGCTTTCACATATCAACTCTATACTGTGTTCTCTCTTTTTGGTGCTTAGCTACTTGACATTAGGCAATAGTAATGATAAAGTGCAACAGAAACCATAAAAACCCAATATAACAAATGTGAGTAATAAGCACACAAATGCTTACAACATGCTAGTTGAGATGAATTGAGACCTGTTCACTTACAGTGACTAATCAGTATAATCTTTGTAGTGTACGTGCACACTTAATGGTGTCACAGTTGATAAGAACTTAAAAGAATTCCCTTGGAATTCACAGGTAATATTGCACTTAGTCTTTGTGGAATTTATATAAGTGAAAACAATTTTTCCTCTGAAACCACCACATCACCTATAGATCATCTGGTAAACCATAGGGGCATTTTGAAAATCACACATTGAGAAATATTAGATTAGAACAGTGGTTTTCAAACTTTTTAAACCATATACCTTTTTCAGTAAAATCTTGACTATAAATGTTTGTCTGTCGATACTAAATTATATACATTCACTTCCAAAATTTTATCTGCATATAATGCCTACACAAAATTAAAAAATAAAAAAGTTGACAACAAAGTAAAATGTTTTTTCGAAAATAACTATAATAATGACACAAAAATGTACTTTTTAATATTGATACTTAGGTGTACTATTTTAGTGCGCTCTGTATTGTTAAATATACTTTATTATTTTTGAAAACCATGATAAAAATTTTGTGATACAATGATTAAAAAGGATTGGTCTAATTTCAGTTTACTTTGATACTGGTTTTTAATGTATAATTCTAACTTTATAGAAAGGATTCCTTACAAAGATATGAAGATCCCAAAAGAAGTACATCTTCAGCTGTATTTAAAAATTTTGATAAGAAATTTTTAGATCTGCTGGCCAATTACAAAAATGTTATATGAAAAAACCTGCTTTCTCGATATTTGTTTGTGCTTTCTATATTAGTGTTACATTTAAGGCTAATATGGCTTCTTTGTAGGAGTCTTTTTAAGACACTTATTTTGTGAGACTTAGCTTTGTTAGAATGCTAAAATCTGTGATTCACCTAACTAGTCACTCATGCAGTGCAATATATAGTGATACGTCCAAATACATGAGACGTATAGGTGAGGGTACCAGGGACATACCCTCCACGCTTATCGCAGGAAGTCACGTGGTTTGGAATTAGTGTCAAGCCACATGTTAACTATCAGGAAAGCTTAACTTCTTTTCTTTTTATTTGTACATTAAATAAATAAAAGAGTGATTCTAATATTTTCTTCCCAAACTGCCATGTATCATTTTGCTCACGTCCTGGAATGTCCGCACTCTCATTTTGAGAGCTCTTCCTTTTTCTATACCTACTGCTGCATGTGAGGAGCCATTTTGGCCTGGCAAGTAGCTGTCCTTAGTAGCCAATCATAAGCAGATTGTAGGAGAGAAAGGTGATTACCAATTGCCAGTCTTCCCTTCTTTTTATTAATAGAACTTAGCATGATTTATAGTTGGGCCCGTGGTCCATCCAGCTAAAAACTGCATTTTTTCACTTGTCTTGCAACAAGGTCCGGGCCACATAACTACGGTCTGGCCAGTGGGGTGTGAGGGGAAGTGATGCTTGCAACTTCCAGGTCATGGACTTACAAAGGAGGCCTCTTTGTCCTCCGTTTCTTCCTTCTTCCCACCGAATTGTAAACAGCAACGCCAGAGCATCCAACCTGTAGCTAGTGAAAGGAACTACTTTTTAAGATGGCAGAGCCATCCTGTCATGGAGTGTTATATCAAAGAGAAACAAACTTCTGTTTTATTTGAGCCATTGTGTTTTGTTTTTTTTTGTTACAGCAGCTTGGTCTGTTTGTCCTAATATAGCACCACGTTTGTTTGCGTGACAGAAGCATTCCCAAGGGACAGCGTTTTCTGATAGCTTTCTCTCTAGCTCCTGGTGAGAAATGCAAGAACCAAATGCAAGTGAATTTTGATTCATCTGTTCCAGCTTGGACCACAGATGATAGAAGCAGAGCAAAAGGGAAGAATATATTTAGAAGTTTTCAAAGACAGTAATAGCTAATACCGTTTATCAAGCACTTAACTGGTGTTAAGAACTTTCAATATGTTCTCTTATTTTTAATCTTCAAACAACATTATGAATTTGGAATTATTATCCTTATTTTACAGATAAAATGCATTTGTCCAGAGGGTTTGAAGGCTACTCAATTACTAAGAGACAAAATCTAAGAATCCAAGGTCTCTAGTCTTGTTCTATGCTGGCTCTATCTTTCCAGGTCTATTTTAAAAATAAACAAAGCTATAGCTTGATGGGTGGAGAACACTAAAGTTTTGCCAATTTTTTTTAACAAAGGAGATTTCAATTTTTTTTTTTTTAAGACACTGAAGCTATGATAATAAATCTATCCCATAAAGAAACGGAAAATGAGAATAATTTGGCACATGTAGGCCATCTATTCTATCAAGATGCATCATGTTTGACCTGAAAAGTTGGACAGTGTGAACTATTGTACATCACAAATAAATATGTTGAGAGGAGTAACACAGAAGGAAACTTCGATTAATGTCAACGGCAGCAGTTTTTAGGGTAGGATAACTAAAAGGAACCATAAGATTTGCATGATATATTCACTTAAGCTTAAATAAAAGTAAAGGATATGGTACAGCAAGAGAAAAAAAGCATAAGTCTCAGAGAGGGATAAGACTTTCTGGCATAGCTTCCAGGTTCCTTTCTCAGTCACACAGATTGTTCCTTGTTTTTGAATTATGAGCCACCAATATATATGAAGGTTGCCTTGATTTCAGGGAAATCAGAGTTGCATGTGAGGAGATGTCTTTTATTCCCCTCTGGCCATGTAGCTCAAACCAGGCTTTATGGCAAGGCTCAATGACAGAAACTGAGAACACTCAGAAACGAGGTGCAAACCACGAATCTACGTTTTCTATAAAAGATGCTGATAAACTGGCACAGGTTGCACCCTGGTCTGTCTTGGACCCTAGCTCAGGACTGTATTCATTACTAACTAATATATTTCATTCAGGTTTGGCCAAAGGTCAAGACCACAACTCAGAGTATCTCTAGAGAGAAACACAGGGTTGCACCAGATCAGCTGAAAGTAGCCCTGTTTTTACACTATTCACCCCCTGACCCTTGGTCAAGCTTTCTTAATTACAAATTGGTCATCATCATTCTTCTTTCTACATTTTAATAATAATTATAGACCAGAAAAAGCAAACTATGAACACCACACTACTAATCATTTGTAGCATTCAATGAAGTATAGGTATTGCTTTAAAAAAACATTTTTCCTTTTCAAATATTCCAGCATAAAATTGTTCATAATCACATACGAGCTTTTTATTTTGTCTCCCCTACTGAGAAAGGATCATTAGATGAGTATTAGACCCTGGCGAGTGGAGAAGCAGAGAGAAGTTCCAGGTTAGGGATGCTTGGAAGATTCTAACGTGTGAGTATATCCTAGTAGATGTGTGGAGCATGGTGTCATGGAGACTGAAAGAGGCGATAGGAGAAAAATGAAGATTTGTTTGGCACAAAGGAGATGAAGGAGCAGGTTGCGGGGAGGTGGTCTCAATCACAAAACCATAGTTTGGGAGCAGTGCTTTTATTCCTAAGATCATTTCAGAGCAAGGCAAGATCTCAGAAATATCAAGAAAAACATCGAGATCCACTAATTCCGATTCAATTACAAGAAGGGTTTGGTGCCAGAGCTCAACTAAGACACAAAAGAATTTATTAGTTCATTCTTTTGCTTGTTTATCCATTTTTACTCATCTATTGAGCATCTACTACATGTCAAAAATTAGGTGCAGAATGCACAGGGCTGAACAAGACAGAAAAAAATCCATATTGTCAAAATTTATATTCTAATGAGTGACTAAGGAAAAGTTCCCGTGTTTTCAGGCTGGTTATCAACTAATATAGAGAAGCTTTAATTCTTCTCAAATAAAAATAACATTGGTTCCAGAGTCTAAGGTAGGAAGATGCTGAGGGAAGGGGTCAGCATCCTTAGAGAGGGCTTTGAAGAGATGTGTCTGCGGAAAGTCAAGCAGATCTTTCCACCGCCTACATCTTGAGAATGGATGGATAAGAAATTACATAGTTTTTGTTGAAAATCTAAATTCCCGTAGAAGATTCAGGCTCCCAAAACTTCTTGTATTGCCATGATAGAATTGTGTCTTGATGTAACTGGTTATTTCAGTATTCTACTTGACTTCATTAGTATAGGTAGGGACTAAAATGAAGTCCAGACTGAGAAACTGTGTAAGATTCTGCTCCATTAATGGTTGTTTTTAAAAGTTGAAGTTTAACAAAGGGTGTGCTCAAGCATTGAAGATCTGTTATAATAGTCAAACCTTAATATCGTCTGTCTGCCTCAACTCAATATGACAAGTCCTTAATATATTCAAGCTCTGTGAGTGAAAAGATTCAGACTTAAAGATAAATATTTTCTACCCACTACAGAAATATAGC